GCCCTGCTTCTAGTTAGCCTGCCTCCAAATCTCCAGTCTTATCTGAACATTTCTGAAGGCTTCCCCTTTATCTCACAATAAATCTTTCATATATTCCTGCCTGCCCTTATGTCTGCCAAATGCAGGTGATGGTGACTAACTCCTTTGATACAGCAAGTGTGCATACATAGTCTTTGTTCTCATGTAGATGGTCTCTTTTTTTCCACAAAGTCAAATATGGCTTGTTTTTTATTTAAAAAAAAAGAAAACTAAAAAAGAATAATTTTCTTCAAGAAACATTAGTTAAGTGATTCAAAATTAATAAAAAATACAGAAAGTGAAATCTATATGAATAGGCAACCACATCTTTTATTTCCCCAGAAATTATGGAACATGTAGAATTCTTTGGCAGCTCAGTCTCAACTACCTTTATTATTCTAGGCAGCAACTGTCAACTGATTCACTTAAAAGTTTTTAAAAAATTACTATTATGGAATTAAAAATATTTCAGTCATGATGGAAAATATTATTTTTCAATGAATTTCACAAAGTACCTCCACCTTCAACAACCATTTGTTTCTCTAAAATGACTCACTGGTGGGCTTCCCTTCTTGCTATTGGTCTATATTCTCAGATCTTCTGGTCCTTATGCTTGCCCATATTCTAACCATCCACCGTTACCTGACTCTGGCTGGCTGGCCATTCCCCCAGCAAGATCTTAGACCTCCTGGTTTCACCCCAACCTGCTAAGCTTGGCCAAGCCATCTCTGCCCCCTGCCACTCAGCTAAAGTTATGGCTTATCAGTGCTAAGGATGTGTGGAACTGCTCATGATGTACTATCATGTTTTTTTTGTTTTTTTAAAAAGAGGTGTAATCTCAACTGTATGCACATAAAACTACGCAGAAATGGTGGTCAATATATATTAAGTGATTCTCCTGACAGCATTCTAAGTGTTTAAGATATGTGAATTCATTTAATCCCTTTAATAACTCTTTGAGGTCAGTTTTATAAGGCACTCCATTGTGCAGATGAGGAAACTGAGACAGAGTGGTTGGAACTTGCCCACAGGGTCCAACGGCTAGTAAGTATTAGAGCCAGGATTTGGACTCAAGCCACCTGGATTTAGAATTCGTGCAATATTGTCACTAATCGAATAGGTAAGGGCTTGGGTTGTAGGCTCAAATCTTATCTGTCACTTACTAGGCAAAAGCAAATTGCTTCATTTCACTGTGGTTCAGTTTCTTCCCCTGCAGTAAAAGGTACCTGTAGCTTATAGGGCAGTGGAAAGGATTAAATGAATTAATATAAGTGAAGTGTTAAGAACTGTACTTGGCACATAGTAAACACTTACTAAATATCAGTTATTACTACCATGTTATACATATATATCTTTACTAGGGAAAAGAATTGGAAAGATTTACCAAAGTGATACTTATATGAACCTGATTATATCTCCATGTAAGACTATAAGGCTGATGTTTTAAAATATTCCCTTAAGTGACAGAAGCATTAGTACAGAAATTTTGTAAATTCTTTCTGAATACTGATGTAGGTGCCAAGGGAAGATGTGTGAGGTAGGCTCTATCTTCCCGTGGTCTTTGTGGCTACCACAGTTCCACTAAGTTTCTGAAACTCTGGTCCAATAAATCAGGAATTGATAGTGAAACTAAATGTGGGATCACTAGCTTCCAATTCATAACACATTGCCCATCCTTCTTTCCCTTGAGTTGTTTCCATATTATTTTTATAATTAAAAACAAAAGTGTATTTTAAAAAGACTCAGAGATTACGATAATTCTTGACCAGTTGTAGATTTAAGTCTAGTCTGATTATAATCACAGATGTTTGCTCTTAGTTCTAAATTTCACCAGACAACTTCTGTAACACTTGTGGGCACCACTGATGGTCTAACAAAAAAACAATAAAAAAAGAGATAAAAACACACAAGAAGAAAGGGAAAGAGCTATAAAGAGAAAAAATGAGGAGGTAAAGAACAAAAGTATAAGATACATAGTCACAGTGTACAAATAATATGCATAGATAATTTGATTAGATGGCACTGACGTCTATTCTAGTTTAGCTGTCCTCAGACTGCCCTTCTAAGGAATTGACTCCAGAGCCTTACTCACTTGGTCATAACTGAAAAATTAACTAGAATGCAGTAACCCAGGATTTGGCTGAATTTATTCACTCTTGGCAGAACTTCTGACTATGTGTTTAGACACATTATTCCAAGTTAGGGCAGATCTGAGTTGGTCTCTGGGTATATAAAACTCTAGAATTAATCATCAGGAGCATTCTCTATAACCAGCTCTAAAAAGGGAACTACTAATATGGTCCATTCAAGCTATGACAAAAGTCCTTCATCTTCAGTTGTGGAACATATTATTTTTGGCAACATATGTATTTTCCCAATTGTAATTTGCTTAAGCTAATATTAAAATTTGTTTGCATTCTTTGAAAACTGTCAACAGTAACAAATGGTGCCAGAAAAAAAGGATAAGCTAGCCTACCAATAAAAACCTAATTACAACATTATGGAAGATATAAAATAAAATATTAGTATATGAGAGGATCCAATCAAAGCATATATACTATAATATACAAAAACAACAGAAAAGGAGAGTTACTTTTTTCTTTTTCTTTTGGTAATTACCTGGCAAGAAGCATACAAGGAATATACTTTTGTGGGAAAAGAAAGCAAAACAAACATTTGATCCAGTGCTAAATAAAGATGGGACTTATTTACAACTAATACAAGGTCATTTTCAAGAACTTTATAATGGATTTAAATAATTGAGGCCCTCCCTGTATTACTTATTTCCCACATCTCTATGCTACTTAAAAATTAATCTAACAGTGATCAGTAAAGCACATTGATCTGAAAAAAAAACTCATTTTCCCTCAGACACAAAGCTAAATTCTCTAAATGTCCTAAATAGCCTGTGTTGAGTGAAAGATAATTGTTTTGGCCAAAAGAAAGTAGAGGGTTTGTTTTTCGTAGAGTCAGGAGTTAAGGAAGAATGGGATCTATCATGATGCAGGGGTCAACTTCTTCAGATGGAGGAGGATAGTGAGCCCTTGAGAAACCTCATCCATGACCAGATTATTTTTATTTCTGAGGCATGAAAAACATTTTTTTATTCATTAGCCCCTTATTTTCTCAAGTCAGTGTATAATTTTGTTTTTCTTAAGTAAAGCTGAGTAAAGAATTGACCCCAAACCTCTATTTCCCATTTGATACCTCTGAAATACTTAGAGTTTGTGAAATACTAGATATAAAGACCAAATGACGTAGAGAAGAATTCTGAAAAAGCACTCAAATATTACTTTAGGTCAGTATATTTTACCACAAAAATCAAAATGATATTCATATAAAGAAAAAAAACCTCAAAATTTTATCTGGTATTTCAGAATGTTGCTTATAAAATTTAGCTATAATTAATTTGGCACAGTATATCCTCATAAGATCAAGGCTGGTCATATATGGCATGAGACTAAGAGGCCAACTTTCACCTCGTTAATTCTTCCCCAGATCAGGAAATCATCGACCTTGTAAGAACCCAGGATTCTGATTACTATAATACAGGTTTGTAGTAGAATTTGACTTGTACTCAGTTTTGTAAAACTGTATGTTAGAAGTTACATTTGTATTCTTTCTTTACTCAGTTACTCCCATTATGTAGAAATCAATGGCCATACTTTAAAAAACACTCCTGTGTGAACCTATTAGGTTCTAAATGAGATGCTGGATTTCCAGTTTACTTAGCTTGAAAGTAAACTAAACTTGCTTCCTTGTGGGATTAAGATGTACCTGAGAATTCCTAACTACATGGTTATTTTAACATGTCATTCTAACTAGAATCACAATAATACTGATTTTTAATTTTACCAGATTTCTTATAAAATTAAAGAATTAGAAATTGCATTTTTACCAAAAAATCATATTTTTGCAAATTATGACTTCCAGCAGGAATTGAATCAATGAAGAAATCTGTATTAATATAGATCTATATATAAGATATATGCAAACAAAGAATTCACTCCTACCTAATGTAGTCAAATAATGGATATCCATTATGTTTAGGTAAATAAATAGGCTGCAGGATCTGCCCACTTACCTTTAAGTTTATTCCACAGCTGCTCAGTCTAGTAATATCTTTGCTGCCTTTACCCTATTGTAGGACTGCCCTAGGAGTCTGGGCTACTTCTTACCCTCTCTAGGACACAATTTTACAAGCTCAAGTTCAGATATCCTGAGAATGAATTTGTTTCCAAGGCACTCTGAAAACAGCAATCTTTGGGGATAGATAAGGACCATATTTTTCCTAGAACCTTGTTCCATAACACTGGTGCTTTTCTCCAGCCTCAAGGATAAAAACCCTTTAGTTTCTTTACTAGATGTCTCTCGAGTCCCTTCTGTAGACATTATTATAGTATCAATAAGAATAGTATTGACCAGTTTGTTCTAAAGTTCTTGTAAATTGTAAGTAAAAAGGAAGCAGGAACTTGATTAAATGGGTCAGTTCATCTGGCCCAATCTGCAAATCTTAATGCAAATGCTTTGATTACTTGCTTACTATTTGACTTTTAGTCATATGTACCAAATAGATTATGTAAGGCAACTTCCAGAATATCTTCCGTTCTACCATCCAGCAGGATTCCAAAACCATTTTCTAACTATATTCTGTTGGTATACAGTCATGAAATTCCAATTTTGTTCATTATTCATCTAAACAAGATACAATTTCTAAGAAAATACATCAAAATGTATTGAGAAAATGCCCCTCAAGCCCAGGGCAACACAACAAGTGTTCCAAAACACTTTAAAGATCTATTCCTTTCTTTTTCCTTCTTTACATTGTGGATTCACTCAACAATTTACTAAATCTTGGTTAAGACAAAACACTGGAAACTGAATCCCACCACCTTAAATCATTCATATAATCAGGAGTACCCCTGACCCTGAAATTGCCTTATGAAGCTCGATTTGAACAAAATGTGTTGTATCCTCTCTACCTTATTGTCAGTCCTAATCGTGACTTTCAGTTGTGGTAGTACACGTTCCACTTCGAGACTCCATTCTGCAGCATCTGTTGTGGATTCCAAAATATCTTCTTGTTTGGCAGACTCGTTCATATCCTAAGAAAGGAAAGATATCACAAGATTGAGAGTTTATAAAAAGAAACAGTAAAATTTTGAGGCATTTTAGCAGGACTGCACAATTTATATCAAGCATGGTAGTGTTAAAATTACAGTGGCAGAAGTTCTTATCTGTCCTTCTATCCACGTTGAAGGAAAACAATGCACAAACCTGCTAGGATAGCAAAATTAGCATTTTTAAAAAGAAGCAAATATATGATTTCAACCATTCTGACAAAAAAACAATGCTTTTGAGATATCAGAGTGAACTCAATGGGAATACTATCAAGTGAACAAGTCATTTAGTTATGTTAATTGGTAACAGTAAAGGAGTACAAACATTCACACATTTGGTAAGAAAACATTGTCTCAGTTTGAGTTTTCTATACTGAAACACAGACCTCCAATCTGAAAGACAAAAAAGACAAGATCCCAGAAGCCAAGAAGTCACTACTTACAAATTTTTTATCCATAATTAAAGTGATATTTGTTAGGTCAAACTATAACATGGCTTTAAAATGTGGTTTAACACAGACCTATTTGAACTTAGATAGGGTGGAGGCCACATTTCTGCATTTGATTTCCGCTGTTGAGAAATAAAATCAATTCAAGCCTGTTTTTGAATTACGAAAGGAAAATTTTTTCTCTCTTCTTTTTCATTTTCCCAGCCTTTCAGCATTAAGTATATCTAGAACTGAAAATGTGAAGAATATACAAATTAATGATTTAACAATATAGCCTAACACATTAATTTTAGTAGCAATTTTTCCTTTAAGCTTCCTTGATAAAAGAAAATGTACAGAAAACATGTAAAAATTTATTAATATAGAAAAAACGAGACCTGAGAAACATAAACAGCCAGATACAACGTAGATGGAGTCTAGTTTGAACAATCCATAAAAAGATGTTTTTGAGACAATCAGGGAAATTTGAATGTGGAAGAGTATTAGATGATAGAAGGAATTATTACTAATTTTGTAGGTATTATAATGGCATAATGGGTTATCATGCCAAGGCCTTATAGAGACAAATGCTGAAATATTTACAGGTAAATGGACATGATGTCTGAAATTTACCTTAAGATTCTACAAGGCAAAGGAAAAAGAGGGGGCCGCCAGAGGAAACATAGTTGACAAACTATTAATTGCTGAAGCTGGGTAATGTTACATAAGAGTTCATTGTCTTGTTCTCTCCACTCCATTTTATGTTTGAAATTTCCCATAATACAAAACTTAAAAATAATAGATTGTATAAATAAGCTCATGGTGAAATTTCATTCTCAGTGTGAATTTATGTCACTAAAAGACATTTCTGAAACAAGTTCATTAGACTAGTCTTTCCAATCCAGTCTAACGCTAAGAAAAACCTTATATTGAGATTTGTATTTTGGTGGGAGAATGAGGTCTTTAGGGGCTTTAAACTCCCAACTGAGTCTCTAGAGCACCGCTCACATGAGAAAGCCTCTCTCTCCTACCTCCTAGCTCATATTAGCAAGTCCTGAACAGACTCAGAACCTTAAAAGGAGCATATGTTGCTTTCTGTTCAGAAATTCAGAGAGCTGTATAGTTCTAACCACGCAATTAGAGGATGGATAAGTAATACATGCTTTCACATTCTACAATATGTGATCTGAATTTTTTCAGGTATATTCTACTTAAAAAAACAGAAGCATAAAAAATATAAGCATTAATATAAGTAAAATGTGGAAATTCTAAGTGAAAAATGTTTAAGATTCCGCTTTAAGCATTAAGGTGCTCACTTTATATAGAAACATTGTATTATTTTGAGTACTAACAGAATACACTACGTACATCTATGTGAACTGAATCAGGGTAGCACAAGAGCACCACGGCTGGAGAGAGGTGGCAAGTGGCAGTATGCACAAGACAGACATGGGTGAAGTTTTATGAGACATGTGACAGCAGGAGAAGAGATACTGAGTCTCCCAGTTGAAACCTAAAGACATGGGGAAAGTTTTCTCTCATGTCACCCCACCCTGGCACCCACAGCATGCATATACTTGGAAGAACTAGGTACTTGCTCACTCGCTGGCACATCCCAGTACCTGTCCCTAGTTCGAGGAGGCCCAATTCTGACTGGCTCATTTTCTGTACCAAAAAGAGTAGACTGATGGGGATGGGGTGGGGTGGAGTGGGAGGAGGTATGCACTGCTAGTGGTATGTAAGCCCCGACATTTGGGGGCTGTGTGTGGTATACACAGGCTTGCTCCTGCCATGGTGATGGGCCCCCACACCCCAATCCCACAGAGTCAGGCTGAACCAAAGGGGCATGTCCTTTGTCCTCTCAGCAGCAGTTTTGAATGATTCTTAATAGAATGCAGATGTTCTGGTCACCGATTTAAAAATAAGTTTGGTTAATGGAACCACCATTTGAGTGAACTGCAGTTAGGTACTCCTGATTAAATCCTGGAGCCAATTCTCAACTCCATTCCCCTCATTCCCATTCCTTCTTCTTCCCTTCCCTACAGGAAGGTGGAGTCCAGAATCACCAAACAAGGCTGGTGAGGGTACTCGCCCGAAGTCCCACTTTCTTCAGGGCTGAATTCATTGGATTGTTCAAGTTGTGCAGAACATACTCAAAAATTTTCCTCAAGGAAGGGCACATTTTTCTAGTTTTCCCAAAGGAATACAGGTTAGCAGTGGCCCTATCTGAATCAGATCAGAATCAAAGAGTTACTAAAGTACATGGAAATCACACACTGCATTAAGACATCCCAGGGCAGAAGCTACTGTTTGGCTTATATTGGGCCCTTTAGTAAGTTGCATTTACTCTTCCTAAGTTCTTATTTGGTTCCCTTAAGCAATGATTTGCAAATTCCTATTCCCAATATCCTAAAGTGATTTAATATAGCAGCTTAAATGTTTTCACTCACTCCTAGGCCACAGTTAATATATTGGGGGGAAATGGCCCAATTACTAAATGAGGAAGGGCAAAAAGAGATCATTAGGCTTGGTAGAGCAGCATTAACTTATTCAAACTATACAGTCTCTTTCTGTTTCTATGTTTGCACATCTATTGCCTAACCTTGTTCCTCAGTCAAAATTTCCTAATGCCTAATAACTGGATACATTAACTGAGCGAGCCCTACCTGTGAAGTAGAAATCACTTTAAAATTATATCATGTCTTAGTTATAATAACTTGAGAAAACCTTTCCTTCCCAATTGTATCTCCATTTAACAAATGGTACTTTATGTGGAGATATTAGAAAACAGAAATAAACTGCTGTTTTCTCTTAATCAAAATTTTATATCAGCATGACAAAGTCCCAGTCCTTCTCTAAAAACACATTAACTAAGTAAGATAAAACATAGCTCCTGGGAAATTGTGTTTTCTAGCTAATGCTGCTGAAGAAACAATTAGAAGCTCAATAAGACACAGGCTATCCAGAAGTCTTTACTTACACTTAATTAATTTACCAGCAAGCCATTTGTAAAACTTCTATAACATGCAAGGTAAGAATCCAGGCACTGTGTTTGGTGTGGGAAGATAAAAGGATTTAATTCCTGCCTGCCGAGTTTATAGCCTGTTAGGGAGAGTCTTGGGCTAGTTTATGGAGGTAATAAAAGGACCCAAGGAAAAAAAAATTATGAAAACTGACCCTAAGACTGCCAAAGGAAGAACTAAAGACAACAGTCTAAACCATCCTATAATATAAACCTGGGCAAAAATAGTGGGGATCAAACATGCAATGTTAAAAGCCTGTTTAGAATCCTGTTGCAAGTAGTAATCTCTTTTCCCAAGAAATATTAATGGGAGAGTTAAGCATCTGAATACTATATTCTGTATATGTTTAAACATATAAACACATACAGTTGGATGTCTGTGTGTGTGTATATGTGTATATATGTGTGTGTGTGTGTGTGTGTGTGTTATATATAATTGGATGTGGCTAGTCTTATGGTTACAGGATTTTGTCTTGTTTTATTTTTCCCTCCCTTCCCCTATGATCCTGTTTTGTTTCTTAAATTCCACATGAGTAAAATGTTATAATTGAATGAATAAAGATGTGCTATATATATATATATGTATATATGTGTGTGTATACACACACACACATATATAATGGAATATTACACAGCCATCAAAAATGAAATCTTGCCATTTGCATTGATGTGGATGGAACTAGAGGGTATTATACTAAGCAAAATAAGTCAATCAGAGAAAGACAATTACCATTAACAAGTATTAATACAGAAAACTGTTACAAGTGATACAGTAGAAACACTGATCACATTTTTGTATACCTGATGAATTACCATCTTAAAGAATTTTTTAAAAAAAATCTCTTTGGACTGAAACTATCTAGTATGTAGTACATACTCATTATTGGTAAACCCCATAGGGAAAGGGGACTAAACATTATTGGACAAAGCAAAGTTGACTATGACTTCCTGATACCAGCAACAGTTACGCATTCATTTCAGTTCTGCTATAATAACAAAAATTTAGTACCATAGGATCTTTTGATCCCAAGAGTCCAAATCAGGGTGGACAGTTAACTCTAGTTAAGACATTCCATTGGGAATGAAGAAGGAAGAAAGCTAGAAGTAGGGTGAAGTAGACTTTTAAAAACCTGACTAATCATGGATACCCTACAGTACTTCCCCTTATTATTTTTTTTTAAAGATTTATTTATTTATTCATTCAGAGACAGCAAGAGAGAGGCAGAGACACAGGCAGAGGGAGAAGCAGGCCCCATGCAGGAAGTCCAATGTGGGACTCGATCCCGGGTCTCCAGGATCACACCCCAGGCTGCAGGCGGCACTAAACCACTGCGCCACCGGGGCTGCCCACTTCCCCTTATTATTGATGGAGAAACACCTTTTCTGGTAAAGGGAACATATATGGCTGCATGGGCATACCCAAGAGTGAAGCTCAAGACTCAGGGATCCGTGAGAAGATATTTCCTTGGGAATGGAGACCTTGCATCAAAAGTTGCAGAGAGATCTTAAGTTCAGATAGGAGGCTGGCCAAGAAA